TGATGCTCTCCTGGAGGCCTGTGGGATAAGTAAGATGAGGCCACAGCTATAAAGTAATTCTTGCACTTGCGAGTTGGAGAAAGGAGGATCTCAAGTTTGAGGCCTGTAGTGAGACCCTGTCTCAAAAATTTAAGGGGTATAGCTTAGTGGTAAAGCATGTGCAAGGAGTTCTATCTCTTGCAAATAAAAAGTTTTTAGGTGAGGTTTAGTAGTAGAGTGATTGCTTAGCATGCATGAAGCTCTGGGTTCGATACCTCAATACCACATAAACAGAAAAAGCCAGAAGTAGTGCTGTGGCTCAAGTGGTAGTGTGCTAGCCTTGAGCAAAAAGAAGTTCAGGGACAGTGCCCAGGCCCTGAGTCAAGCCCAAGGACTGGCCAAAAAAAAAGCTTTTAGCTGGGCTCTAGTGGCTCATGCCTGTAATTCTAGCTACTCAAGAGGCAAGGACAATCTGTGAGACTTTTTAATTTCCAGTTAGTGTGGTAGAGGATTTTCCTTGAGCTTTTACAAAAGCTCTGGGACAACATCCAGGCCCTGACTTCAAGCCCCAGGACTAGCACTCCCCCCAAAAAGAAAAAAGGCTTTTTAGTCCGGGCTAAAAAGAAAAAGTGTAGCCAGGAGCCAGTGGGCTCAAGCCTGTTATCTTAGCTACTCAGGAGGCTGAGATCTGAGGATCGCAGCTCAAAGTGGTAAAGCACTAGCCTTGAGCTGAAGAGCTGAGGGACAGCGTCCAGGCCCAGAGTTCAAGCACCGTGACTGACAAAAAAAAAGATATAAACTGGATGCCAGTGGATTATGCCTGTAAACCTAGCTACTCTGGAGGCTGACATCTTAGGATCTGAGGGTCACGGTTCAAAGCCAGTCTGGACAGGAAAGTCTGTGAAACTCTTATCTTCAATAGACCATCAGTGCCAGAAATGGCACTGTGGTTCAAGTAGTAGAGCACTTGCCTTGAGCTGAAGAGCTGAGGGACAATGCCCAGGCCCAGAGTTCAAGACCCATGGCCTACCAAAAAAAAAAAAAAAGTATAGCCCAGACTTCCCTGGAACTTGAGCTCCTCCTGCCTCCAGTTCCCCAGTTGGCATTATAGGCATGTGTAGCCTGGTACTTTTTTTTTTTTTGTAGAATTGCAGTTTGAATTTAGGTCCTCATGCTTCCTAGCCAAGTGTTTTACCACAGGACTATGCTTCTAGCACTTTTTCTTTTCTTTTTTTTTCTTTTTGGGTCTGGTCATGGGGCCTGAACTCTGGGCCTGGGTGCTGTCCCTCAGCTCTTCAGCTAAAGGCTAGTGCTCTACCACTTGAGCCACAGCGCCACTTCCAGCTTTTTTTTCTTTTTGCTTATGTGGTGCTGAGGAATCGAACCCAGGGCCTCATGCATGCAAGGCAAGTGCTCTACTACTGAGTCACCTTCCCAGCCCCATTCTAGCACTTTTTCATGCCAGTACTAGGGCTTGAATTCAGGGCCTCACCACTGTTCATCTTTTTTGCTCAAGGCTGACACTCTACCATTTGATCTATAGCTCCTCTACTCCTGGCTTTTTGGTGGAAATAAAGATCTCACATGCCTGGGCTGGCTTCCGTGATCCTCATAACTCAGCCTACTGAGTAGCTAGAATTACAAGCATGAATTACCAGCTGTGGCTTGCACTGGTTATTTTTTGAGATAAGGTCTTGCTTTCTGTGCAGGCCAGATTCTCCTATTTTTCTGCTTTCTGATATAGTTGGAGTATCAGGACACCACTGTACTAAACTTCCTTGGTTAAGATGGAAGATGGACTTTGGTTGGTGGACTTTTCTGTTGGGGCTGGCTTAGAACAGTGATCTTTTCTCACCCGCCCCCCCCCCCCTTCCTCCTTCCATCCCCATCTGCAGCCTTGAACTCTGGTGGGCCTGGGTTTTATCCTTAAGCTTTTGCTTAAGGCTGGTGCTCTACCACTTGAGGTACAGTACCACTTCCTACTTTTTCTGTGATTAATTGGAGATAGAGTCTCATAGACTTTTCTACTTGGGCTGGCTTCAAATCATGATCCTTAGATTCTCAGCCTCTTCAGTAGCTAGGCTTATAGGTGTGAGCCACCAGCCTGGCTTACAGTGATGCTTCTAATCCCAGTTTTTCAGGTAGTTTAGGATGAGACTTAATGCCATGGTACCTAGCCATGGTTGAGAAAGGGTCTTGCAAACTTTTCTGCGCAGATTGGCCAGTGGCCAGGTTTACTTAACTTTCATGTCTGTCTGTCTGTCTGTCCTATCTATCTGTCTGTCTGTCTATCTGTCTATCTATCCTTTGTGTTAGAGATGGAACCTAAGGCTCCATGCATAGTAGGCAAACGTTCTGTTATTGAGCTATATTCCCAACTTGCTAGGTACTTTTTTTTGGTTGTGGGGCTTGAACTCTGGGCCTGGGTACTGTCCCTGAGCTCTTCAGCTCAAGGCGAATGCTCTATTACTTTGAGCTCAGTACCACTTCCGGTTTTATGGTGGTTAATTGGAGATAAGAGTCTCACAGACTTTAGGGCCCAGGCTGGCTTTGAACCATGATCAAAGGATCCTTAGATCTCAGCCTTCTGAGTAGCTAGGATTACAGGTGTGAGCCACTGGTGCCCAGCTAGGTACTTTATAAGACCCTTTAGTCCACATGTTTCTTTGTCTTCAGTTTCTGTGGGACAGACACTATTCTCCCTGCTGTAGAGCTATGAGAACTGTGGCCTGGGCTGAGAGTAGTCACTGTTACAGAGTGTCTTTCAGTATGAATTGGTCAGTTGTACTGCTGATGGCCTAAGGTAAACATCTGGCATGATATGGGCCCCAGACCTTCCTCTCAGTCTCAGGTTAAATTAGGCTATTTGTCCTTTTGTGCTAAGCGTTATGTTCTTTCAAGTCTCAGACTTGAACATGTATCAGGTTGCTCATATATCTAAGTGTCCAGAAGTGGGGACAGGGCTGGTCTACAGACACTGTGTGTTCCCTAAAAGGAATAGTCCCTCTCAAAACTAGATCTGAGTTTTTTTGTGTGTGATTGTTCCTGTAGCCATGTTGATGGCAGAAAGAATGAAATAAAGTGATGTTTAATGATGTGCTTACTCATCATGTCTATAATGTGTGCTCTCCACACATGCACAATGTGAGGTTGTACCAGGATACTGTCCTCTTTTCACAAGTATAGAGACACGGGACATGTGAGGGACGATAAGAGTTCATCTCAAAGTCTGCATGGGCTGCCTTTTCAGTGTTCTATGCATCCCATTGCTGCACTGGACAGACAACAAAAGTACATATCAACTCATTATGGCAGAGTAGAAGAGTAAAAGGTATAGGAAGAGGACAGCTTTGTGGGGAGTTGGAATGGTATGAGAGGGAGATACAGCCATAGCAAGTGAGCCCAGGCTGATGGAGAGTGGCAATAGACATGAGCTGTGAGTGGCCTATAATGCCTGGAAAAGTGGGTGGGCTGAGGATGGTTGGTGGCATACTTTATCTCACTGCTTCCTGGACTCCAAGGAATCCAGATACTGTATGTGTGCATGTAGTGTCTCTCTTGATGGGTATGTGTGGTTCTTGTCCTTGCAAGTTCAGTGGTGGGAATCCATTTTTGGAAAATGGTGAGAAGTATAAATAGCTGCTTCAGAGATTCCAGATGGAACTGGCACTTCCTGATCCTCCTTGGCTGCCAGGGAGGTGAGGAACATGAGGCCTCTGTTCTTTTTCCTCATCCTTTTTTTATTCTTCTGATTTTTTTTCTGATGTTACTAGGATTTGAACTTGGGACCTTGTACTTGCTCAGCTTGCTTGCTTGCTCAGATGGTACTCTACCACTTGACCCACTCATGGCTCTGCTTTTTTGCTGGTTTTATCTTAGAATCTTGTGAACTTGCCAGTTCTGGCTGACTCCACAATCTTGAGATCTCAGCCTCTTCAGTAATTAGGATTATAGGCATTATAGGCATGAGCCTCTGGTACCTGGCTCTTCTATTTTTATTTATTTATTTGTTTGTTTGTTTGTTTGTTTTGGTTGGTTGTGAGGTTTGAACTCTGGGCCTGGGTGCTGACCCTCAGCTCTTCAGCTCAAGGTGAGCACTCTACCACTTGAGCCACAACTCCACTTCTAGTTTTCTGGTGGTTTATTGGAGATAAGAGTCTCACGGTCTTTTCTTCCCAGGCTGGCTTTGAACCGCGATCCTCAGATCTCAGCCTTCTGAGTAGCCAAGTTTACAGGCGTGAGCCACCAGTGTCCGGTTTCTCTTTCTCTTTGTCTTTGTCTTTCTCTCTCTCTCTCTTTCTTTCTCTTTCTCTTCCTCTTTCTCCTTCTCTTTCTCCTCTTCCTCCTCCCCTCCCCTCTCCTCTCATTTTGCCAGTCCTAGGTCTTGAACTCTGGGAATTGTTCCCCTAGCTTTTTTAGATCAAGGCTAGCACTCTACCACTTGAGCCACAGGGCCACTTCTGCTTTTTCTGTTTATATGGTCCTGAGGAATCAGACCCAGGGTTTCATTCATGGTAGGCAACCACCACTAAACCACATTCTCAGCCTGGCCTCTGCTTTTGATGGGTGTTTCCCATTTCAAACACGGGGGAAGCGAAGCCATAGAGACTCATTGACTTGCTTGCCGTTTGCTGTAGCTCCAGGCTGCTCAGCCTCTGGGGAAGGAATATTCTCTGTTCCTGTTGGGTCTAGGAAGGTAGTCAGTGCTGCTGGTAGGTGTCTGGCTCAGAGTCTGTATCAGTTAGATGTCTCAGGTGAGATGTCTCCAATAGAGCTGACCTAGGAAGAGCAGGCTGTTTGATTTTCACCCTCATGACCAACTATGCTGCCTTTTTGTTTTTCAGGACAAACATCATGATGCTGCTCATGAAATCATTGAGACCATACGGTGAGTCCTGGGGTGGTATAGGGCATTTGCATCTGGGCGTTTGTGGAGTTGTGATCCAGACAGTTCCTGGTGCAGCCTCTCTTGGAGGCCTTGTCAGAGAGGGGCAATATCAGCAGAAGTGATGAGGCACATATACAGTACCGTCTGGTTTCTTCAGTAGGACCAACAGCACTGGGCTTGCCATATACTTGGTGCAGGCCCTTTATGGTCTACTGTCATAGTCTATAACCTTCAAAAAATAAGATGCCCAGTTGTCATTGCTATTGTAGCTACTGCCCCTCCCGGTCCCAAAGGGATGAGTTAGAGCCTGTAGCATGCTGGCACATGTTCTACCATTGAGCCACATCCCAGCATTCACCTCAGTGGTGATTAGGGTTTCATTCATACTTCCTGTGGAATAAAGATGGAGCATCATGCTGGAGGGTATGGAGGCTTTCCCTCTTCTTTCCATACCTCTACATGGATATGCAGAGAGAGCAGGTCATTTGTGTCGGTCCTAGGAGGATGCCATCTGCCCTACTGTGCTACTTACTAGCTGCTGGGAATGACAAGGCAACACCTTTGTTGGGATGGTCACAGCTCAGTCTCCTATCAAGCTACACCTGATTTTCTGTTCTGGTGGCTTGCTGTGTAAACCTCATCCTCTGAAGTTTCCTAAATTTTAAGTAAATGGGAGAAAAGCTCTTTTGACTTAATCCACAACTCAGAGGCTGCAGAATGGCCAGCTGGCCAGAGCTGAAACTTCTCAGGGAAAGAGATACTAGAGAGAATGAATTCTAGAGGGGTTTAGAGAGAATGAGTGGACCCTAGATTAATTTGGCAGAGATTAACTTGAGAATGGAATGAACAAATAGCACCTTAAGACAGTACCTACGTGTCACATTCTTGACTTCCTTGTCAGACAGGAGATTCCAGGCAGGCCGACCATGAATTGTGTCCTGCTTTGGTGGGTTTGTCTTAAGGGAGATAAGAAAATTTCTGAGAGGGGCCCTCCCAGACCTTGGGGTGAACCAGACCAGGTCAGCCGGACACTGATATTGGGGAGGATGGAGTGCTGAGCCCCCTCAGCCAGTCAGAATGCCAAGGGACAGTTATCATTGCCTTCACAGCAAACTGTCGGCCAGCAGCTATGCTACATGGCTGTGACATCTATATAAACAACTGAACTTGGGTGAACTTTCTGTAGGGGCTTATGCTCTAGGACTTTTGTCTTCATGGGGCTTCCCAGAGTGTTGGACAACAGTGAATGAGACCCAGGCCTTCCAGGGCCTGTGAAGCCACTTCTGTTTACTCCTTAGGCTCTGTGTCCTCCCTTCTTCTGCCTCATGAGCAACAAAGCAGAATTGTCTAAACTAGATTTTTGGTTTTTTTTTTTTTTTTTTTTTTTTTTTTTGGCCAGACCTGAGCCTCTTAAGGCTAGCACGCTACCACTTGAGCCACAGTGTCACTTCTGGCTTTTTTCTTTTTGCTTATGTGGTGCTGAGGAATCGAACCCAGGGCCTCAGGCATACAAGGCGAGCGCTCTACCACTGAGCCACCTTCCCAGCCCTGGAGAGTGTTTTTAAGATAAGATCTTATTACTTACTTCCTTTTGCCTGAGCTGGACAGCAGACCCCCCAATTTTTAGTATAGGAGTGTACCACCCACATGCAGCCACTCCTGACCTATACATTTAAATTGATTCTTAGGTAGGTATATATGTATGTATAGATGAAACAGTTGTTTGCTATGGCATCCACTGGAGTCTTGGAATATGGGGGACAACTCTGGTTTAAATCAGGACTTATTGTATTTGCCAAGGAAATTTTTGTGATCTCCATGGTAGAGGAATTGAGACAGTGAAGCCTGGCTTGCTACCTGCCTACTGCCCAGCATGGACAGATTTTTTTTGGGGGGAGGTGGGGGGTAGTCCGGTCGTGGGACCTGAACTCTAGGCCTAGACACTGTCCCTCCGCTCTTCAGCTCAAGGCTAACACTCTACCACTTGAGCCACAGCGCCACTTCCAGATTTTTTCTTTTTGCTTATGTGGTGCTGAGGAATCAAACCCAGGGCCTCATGCATGCAAGGCAAGCGCTCTACCACTGAGCCGCCTTCCCAGCCCCCTTTTTTTTTTTTTAAGATTTTTTTTTCGGGGCTGGGAAGGTGGCTCAGAAGTAGAGTGCTTGCCTTGCATCCATGAGGTCCTGGGTATGATTCCTCAACACCACATAAGCAGAAAAAGCTGGAAGTGGTGCTGTGGCTTAAGTGGTAGATCTCATTCTCCTTAATAGCTGGGATTATAGGTGAGCCACTGGCTCCAGGGCCTGGACAGATTTTTATATGGAAGAACTACAAAGAACTAAGCTGCTTCTTTGACATCAGTGACACAGAATGTGCTAGTCATTCAACAGTTGGACTTCCTGGCTAGACTGGAATGCAGTGTCCTGTGGATGATAGATGTGGGTGCTTTTCCTGTATAAGAAGATCCAGGGGGCTGGGAAGGTGGCTCAGTGGTAGAGTGCTTGCCTTGCATGCCTGAGGCCCTGGGTTCGATTCCTCAGCACCACAAACGCAAAAAGAAAAAAGCCGGAGGTGGCGCTGTAGCCCAAGTGGTAGAGAGCTAGCCCTGAACTGAAGAGTTGAGGGACAGTGTCCAGGCCCAGAGTTCAGGCCCCACAACCGGACCCAAAAAAAAAAAAAAAGAAGATCCAGGCTGATGATAAACTCAGTATTCCTGAGACTGTTTTGTGTTCATTTTTTAGAAGGCTTCTGT